TTCGAATTAGGGGGGGTAGTGTAGACCAAGCCTTAGTCTTTAAGGTGCCACCAGACTCCTTGTTGTTTTTGTAGATACAGACTAACACGGCTACCCCCTGATACTTGATAAAGTGAGCACTGTACACTATATTATGTGTTGTAATTAAAATCAATATATTTGAAAATCTAGAAAATATCCAAAAATATTTAAATAAATGGTATTCTATTATTGTTTAACAGTGCGATTAATCACAATTAATTTTTGTAATCACGTGATTAATCACAATTAATTTTTAATTGCTTGACAGCCCTATTGGTGACCCCTAATTCTTGTGTTATGAGAAGGAGTAAAAAACAGTTCCTTATCTATTTTATCTACATCAGTCATGATTTTATAAACCTCTATCATATCCCCCGTTACCCGTCTCTTTTCCAAGCTGAAAAGTCCCAGTTTTATTAATCTCTTATTTATCTTCAGCCGTTCCATACCCCTAATCCTTTTTGTTGCCCTTTTCTGAACCTTTTTCAATTCCAATATATCTTTTTTGAGATGGGGCGACCACATCTGCATGCATTTATGCATGGATTTATATAGAGGCAATATGATATTCTTCCTTGAGTGATTGCTCACATGCCTTCTACAATAGGTGTGCGTGCTCGCCACGTGCACTGGTGCCAGAAGTTTTTCCCCTAGCTGTACCCATAGGGGAGTGCTCCTAGCGACCCCTGGAGTGGCGCCTTCATGGCGCGGTATAAGAGGCGCTGCGCGCTCTCCCCACCCTCAGTTCCTTCTTGCCGCCAGTGAAGGTGCATCGAAACTGCTCTGCTCCAGCTTGGCTGCAGCTTCTCTCTTGAACTGTTTTTCGTTCATTGTTAACCTGTAGTTAAAGTAGTTTAGATTAGTGTTAGTTTAATTTAGTGCGCCTGGGTTGGGGCATGCCCCGTGCCCCAGGCTTTAAGTCATGCGATACTTGCAGGCGGCTGATGCCAGTGAGTGATCTGCACACAGACTGTTTACACTGTCTAGGGGAAACCCATCTCAGCAATCATTGCAAGAATTGCAGATCCTTTAAGCCTCGGACCAAGGAAGAGAGGGACATTCAGCTCCAAGTCATTCTGATGGAGTCGGCATTGACCCCAATTCCGGTGCGCCGCTCTGAGTCGGCACCAAGTATCGCAGTGTCAGTGCACGGCGACCCTTTGGTGCCTTCCACCAGTTGGCACCGCTCCCCATTCGCGGGTCATGCCAAGAAGAGGTCTTCTCAACCGAGACACTGGAGCAAGACTGGGGGAGAGACTAGACCCACATTGGGCAGTTTTCGATCCCCGTCGGCCTTCAGGCCTCTGACTCAGGTTGAACTGTTGAAAAGGGTGGCATCGAGCCTCAACCTTCAAGCTGAGGAATCCTCAGACTCCCTCTTCAATGTCCTATCCGCCTCGGTGCCGGGGAGGGTGGCCCTCCCACTCCACGAAGGGGTGGCGAAAATTTCAAACACCTTGTGTCAAACCCCGGCTTCCTTGCCCCCCCATCTCTAAGAGGGCGGAACGGAAGTACTTTGTGCCCACCAAGGGGCATGAATACCTGTACACCCACCCTGCGCCCAACTCCCTGGTAGTCAAGTCGGTCAACCACAGGCCCAACCAGCTCCTACTCCGAAAAATAAAGACTCAAGAAGGCTGGACTTATTCAGGAGAAAGGTTTATTCGTCCTTGAGTTTCCAGTTAAGGGTGGCAAACCATCAAGCCCTCCTAAGGTGGTATGAGTTCAATTTGTGGGGCTCTCTGCCCAAATCTGAGGACTCCCTCCCGGAGCGTGACAGGAAGGAGTTCAAGGCTCTGGTGGAGGAGGGGACAGCAGCTGCCAGGGTGACCCTGCAGGCAGCATCAGATGCTGCGGATACAGCCGCGTGGTCCATGGCCTCCGCGGTGTCCATGAGGAGGGCGTCGTGGCTCCTGCTGTCTGGGCTGTCCAGCGAGGCGCAGAACTCCCTGCAGGACCTTTCGTTCGACAGCAAGGCCCTGTTTGCAGAACAGATGGACGTGAAATTGCATGGCCTGAACGCTTAAGACACTTGGCCTCTATGTCCCAGCTCTGGCTAGACCAAGTTTAAGCTTCAGCTGGCTCCCACCCAGGCCACCCACTCTAAATATGAGCCCCCTTATAAAAAGTCTTGGGACTATAAGAAACGCCCATAGAGGCAGTCCCGAGCTGGGGCCTTCCAAGGGCAAACAGGCGGGAAAATGTTAGTTTTGACGGGCTGCCTGGGGGCGATTTACCCGTTCATACCAGGGATTCACCCACAATAAAGCTTCCCTTCTCCAACCAGTTGTGTTCTTTTCTCCCAGAGTGGTCGCGGTTGACCTCAGACCGTTGGGTCCTCAACACTGTCTTTCACTGCTACTCCCTCCAGTTTACCTCTACCCCACCCAACCACCCTCCGTCCCCATCCCTCCTGGGGGACCCCTCTCATGAGGCCCTGCTCGAGCAGGAGGTGGGGCGGCTCCTTGGCCTAGGAGCGGTGGAAGTGGTGCCTGCGGAGTTCAGACGCAAGGGGTACTACTCCCGCTATTTCCTTATCCTAAAGGCCAAAGGGGGCTCAGGCCCATCCTGGACCTGCGAGGCCTGAACCAGTACATGGTAAAGCTCAAGTTCCGCATGGTCTCTCTGGCCTCTATCATCCCCTCCCTGGATCCGGGGGACTGGTACTTCGCCCTCGACCTGCAGGACGTGTACTTCCACATTCATATATTCAAGAGGCACAGGCGTTTCCTCCGTTTCACGGTTGGGCAGGAACACTACCAATTTACGGTCCTCCCGTTTGGCCTGTCCACTGCTCCCAGGGTGTTCACGAAATGCATATCTGTGGTGGTGGCCTACCTCAGATGTCGTGGGGTTCAGCTCTTCCCCTATCTTGACGACTGGCTGGTCAAGGGCAGCTCCAGGTCACAGGTGCGGGATCACATGGCGCTCCTCCTGTCCACATGTGCCACCCTGGGCCTGTTGGTAAACGACACCAAGTCTACGTTAGTCCCGATGCAGCGCATAGAGTTTATCGGGGCAGTCCTGGACGCGATGTCAGCCAGGGCCACCAGACAGATTCGAGACCCTAAAAGGGCTCATTGACACGGTCACAAGGTTCCCCATAACCACAGCCAGAGCGTGCCTCCAGCTCCTGGGTCACATGTCGGCATGCATATATGTGGTTCGCCACACCAGACTCAGGATGTGGCCCCTCCAGCACTGGTTGGTCTCGGTGTTCTCCCAGTCCAGAGACAGGAGAACTGTGCCAGAACTGGGGCTCACCTCCCTACAGTGGTGGTCCTCCCCGGGTAACATCCTCCACGGGGTCCCATTCAGGGGCAGGCCCCCATCAGTGGAGCTAGTGTCCAACGGGTTGGACCTGGGGTTGGGGGCCCATTTGGGGAATGTTCAGACCCAAGGTCTGTGCATATAAACGTCAAGGAGCTCCAGGCAGTCCGGCTAGCATGTGTGGCCTTCCGCTCGCACCTGGAGGGCAGAGTGGTCAGGGTTCTCACGGACAACACAGCCTCAATGTTTTACATCAATAGGCAAGGCGTGGCCTGTTCCTCTGCCAGGAAACCCTCAGGCTGTGGGACTTCTGTATAGCCCACAACATTTGCCTACAAGCCTATCACTTACCGGGCGCCCGGAACTCATGGGCGGACGCCTGAGCTGAGACTTCTCCTCTTAGCACGAGTCACTACACCCAGAGGTGGTGCACAGGATTTTCCAAGAGTGGGGAACTCCCCAGGTGGACCTGTTCGCGACTCAGCTGAACTGCTGGTGTCCCCGTTTCTGCTCCGGGGGGGGGGCAGGGTTGGGCGTGGGCACCATCTCCGATGCCTTCCTCCTGTCCTGGTCGGGCCAGCTTCTCTATGCCTTCCCCCTAATCCCGTTGATCGGCAAGGTCTTGGAGAAGATAAAAACGGACAGGTCTTCCTGATTGCCCTGGCATGGCCCAGGCAACATTGGTACAGGACCCTCACAAGCCTGGCGGTCGCCCCGCCATGGCTGTTGCCATCCCACCTGGACCTGCTCTCCCAGGACCAGGGCTGCCTCCTCTGCCCCAACCTAGCGGCACTCCACCTCATGGCATGGCTGCTCAATGGTTAGGCTGGAAGGAAAGGACGTGCTCAGAAGGGGTTCAGCCAGGGCCGGCTCTAGGATTTTTGCCGCCCCAAGCAGAAACAATTTTGGCTGCCCCCCGTTTTTTTCTTACCCCACCCCTGGCCCCGCCTCAGCTCCGCCCCTTCCCCAAATCCCCAGCCCTGCCTCCTCCCCCCAGGCTCTCAAGCCTAGGAGGGAGGGTGAGCAGCGGCGCGCGAATCAGCTGTTTCGTGCGCTGCGGCCGCTCGGGATCTCCCCCTCCCCCCCAGGTTTGAGAGCCTGGGAGGTTTGAGAGCCTGGGAGGGAGGGGGAGCAGCAGCGCGCGAATCAGCTGTTTCGCGTGCCATGGCGCGTGAGCGGCAGCAGCGGAGGTGAGCTAGGGCGGCCGGGACACATTTTTAGGGGCGGCATTCTGGCGCCGACCATGCCGCCCCTAAAAATGTGCCGCCCCAAGCACCAGCTTGTTTTGCTGGTGCCTAGAGCTGGCCCTGGGTTCAGCACGTCCTCCTGGAAAGCAGACGGCCCTCCACGCCTCAGGCCTACCTGGTGAAGTGGTCTCAGTTTTCCCAGTGAGTAGCCGATCGGGGCGTTTCACCTGTGGCTGCTTCAATCCAACTCATTTTAGACTACCTCCTTCACCTTAGAGCCCGGGCCTAGCGCCCTCGTCCATCAAAGTGCACTTATCGGCTAAATCGGCCTTCCACCCGCCGGTGCAGGGACACACGGTCTTCTCCCATGCTATGACTGGCTGATTCCTCAAGGGATTGGATCATCTCTTCCCGTACATTAGGCCCCCAGTCCGGCAGTGGGACCTGAACTTGGTGCTGGCCCGGTTGATGGGTCCCCCATTTGAGCTGCTAGCTACATCCTCCTGGTCGCACCTCTCGCGGAAGGTGGCCTTCCTGGTGGTGATCACGTCAGCTAGACAGGTCTCAGAGCTCAGGGCCCTGACCTCCAAACCCCCGTACACGGTGTTCCATAAGGATAAGGTCCAATTCCGACTACATTGTGTGTTGCTCCCCAAGGTGGTCTTCACCTACCACATGGGTCAGGACATCTTCCTGCCGGTGCTCTGTCCCAAGCCCCATGCGTCCAGTAAGGAGCGCCTTCTCCACATGCTGGATTTGAGATGGGCTCTGGCCTTTTACCTGGAACGGACAAAGCCGTTCAGGAAGTCGTCGCAGATGTTCATCACCTCGGCCGAGCGCATGAGAGGTCGGCTGATCTCCATTCAGCAGCTCTCCAACTGGATCACTTTGTGTATTTGTACCTGTTACAACCTGGCGGGGATTCCCCCGCCGCCGATTGTAAGGGCACACTCGACTAGGACGCAAGCCTCGTCAGCTGCCTTTTTTAGCCCATGTTCCCATTCAGGACATTTGTAGGACTGCCACGTGGTCTTCCATTCACACTTCACCTCGCATTATGCGATCGTCTCCCAAACCAGAGAGGATGCTGGGTTCGGCAGGGCGGTAGTCCATCCCGAGAGTCTGTGAACTCCTATCCACCTCCAACAGATATAGCTTGGAATCACCTATTGTGGAATGCACATGAGCAATCACTCGAAGAAGAAAAGACAGTTACCTTTTCCATAACTGGTGTTCTTTGAGATGTGTTGCTCATGTCCATTCCACATCCCGCCCTCCTTCCCCTCTGTCGGAGTTGTCTGGCAAGAAGGAACTGAGGGTGGGGGAGCGTGCAGCGCCCCTTATACCGCGCCATGGAGGCACCACTGCAGGGGCCGCTAAGGGCGCTCCCCTACGGGTACTGCTAGGGGAAAAACTTCTGGCACCGATGTACATGGTGAGCACACACACCTATTGTGGAATGGACATGAGCAACACATCTCGAAGAACACCAGTTACGGAAAAGGTAACTGTCTTTTTTCTGTCTTATTACACTGGTCTACAATTTTTGAGAAGTCATCTGCTTCAG